GGCTAGAGGCGATCGAGAATTAATATATTGGATGCTGCGTGCCGCGAACACGATATAGCTTACTCACAAAGCAACGATCTCGCTAAACGACACGTAGCCGACAATATACTCGCCGCAAAAGCGCGAAAACGCATCACTGCGAGAGATTCGACTCTGGGTGAAAGAGCTGCCGCCGCAGCTGTCTGGGCGGCCATGAAGGCCAAGATAAAAATCGGCATAGGTTTGAAAATGAAGAAGAAGCCGATGAAGAAAGCAATGAATAAAAGAATACTTCCAGTAGCGAAACGCGGTGGTATCCTACTTATCCTGCCATTGTTGGGAGTTCTCGGTTCATTGGTTGGTGGAGCGGCGGGAGTCGCCAAGGCAGTGAACGATAACAAAGCTGCGCAACGTCAACTAGAAGAATTGAAATATCATAATCGTGCTATGAAAGGTCATGGACTTTATCTCGCTCCATACAAGCGTGGACGAGGTGCCTCTTCAAGAAAAAAAAAAACGTCAAACAGACATTAAAAATTTCTAAAGATATAACTACCAATGTACAACTACAACAATTGGCAACGCGTATTCGCATTCCGTATTTTAGAGGTGTTTTTATGCGTACTACCTTACCTACAGGAATACATCGAAACGAGAGCGGTATCTTGAATTTGGGTATCTTGAATTTAGATAATGCTGAGAGACCAGGTACTCATTGAGTAGCGTATGCAAAGAAGGGGGATCGAGCTATTTATTTTGATAGTTTTGGCAATCTTCGACCACCGAAGGAATTGGTACGATATTTAAAAAAGACATACATCGAATATAATTGCACAGCATATCAACGGTATGATCAAAGCAATTGTGAATAACTATGCCTGCAGTTTCTGAAGGGAGTTGACAATCAATTTAAGAACCGACATTACATTGTATAAAGTCAGTATTCGATCAAATATGTCACTAACGTTTACGTTGACCGGTAAGAGTAGTCTGCTCTCGGTAAGCTACTTTCCAGCCATAGATTTGAGCGATGGTGATTACGAATTCGGTCTGGCAGATTTTGAAACGTACCGCGATACCGAATGTAACATTGTCTAATAACAAATTTTACTTTGACCAAGACGACAAAAAAATTGTCATTCCCGAAGGATCGTACGAACTGCATGACATAAGCAAATATTTAAAACGTGCAATATTACAACAATATCCTCGTCTCAATGTTGTAAAAAAGAAGATGCTCGAAAGAGAAGATGAAGAGAATGAGTATCCACTGATTATTCGAGCTAATAACAATACGATGAAGAGCGAAATGCGCTTATTGAATAAATTTCGTCAAACCTGACAATATTGGATCGTTGCTTGGATTTTCGTCAAATCGTATGCTGGAGCCGCAACAATGGCACGAATCAGACGTACCGATAAATATCGTCAACGTAAATATTATTCGCACAGAATGCAATATGACCGCTGGTGCGTACAGCAACGACAAGTGCGTACATACGATACATGAGTTTTCACCGAGCGTGCCGCCAGGATATAAAATATCGAAAACGCCGACGCAAATCATTTACCTTCCGATCATCGCACGGAGCATTACAGATTTAACGATACGTATTGTGGATCAAGACGGCCGATTGCTCGATTTTCGCGGAAAGGAAATCACCGTTAGATTGCATATACGCAGACGACAGCGATAATAAGGGTGTTGTATGACATGCTAGTGTTGAACGAGCAGGTGAACCAAATAAAGGACACAATTTTTGAGGCGACGACTAAGAGTATTAAATACGGTAAAAAGAAACTCAACATAAGCAACGTTAAATTTTAAGATCATTAGAATTCATCGTTCGAAATGATTGATATCTTAAATATTGGAAGTAAGCCGGTCTTTGACGATCACGTCATCAAGATTGAGGCTTACACATACAATCCGTACGCAAACACAACGTTTGGACATAACGATAAAATAAGAATACCTATACAACAGCAAGATTTATACATCTTGCCATGCGAAAGCTTTCTCTATGTCGAAGGAAAATTGACGATAAAGAGGAAAAATAATGAATCAATGACAACTCTTGAAAACAATTGTATAGCATTTATGTTTGATGAAATTCGATACGAACTCAATGGTGTGAAGATTGATCGCAACAAAAACGTCGGAATAACCAATACAATCAAGAATTATGTATCGCTGACGTATGACAAGGCGCTAATTTTGCGAAACGCAGGATGGGACATTTCGTCGACCATATCGGAAGGATACTTTAATTTTTGCGTACCACTCAATCTGTTGTTTGGTTTTTGCGAAGATTACAAACGTGTGGTTGTTAACGTTCGTCACGAATTGATACTGATACAAGCGACAACAACTGTATGGTGGGAGTTTCGACGATGGAACCGGAAATAGAATTATTCAAAGTACAGCGAATGCCTCATATAATGTTGAATGAAATCAATAAACTATCTTTGTTGCGAGTTTTGGAAAGTGGGCGATATCTGAGCATGAGTTTTCGCTCGTGGGATTTATATGAGTATCCTTTATTACAAAGTACAACCAAACATTCGTGGAGTGTAAAAATGTTGACTCAGCTAGAGAAACCGCGGTATGTTATCTTTGCTCTGCAAGCGGGCCGAAAGAATAACATGTCTGAAGATGTTACGATATTCGATGACTGTAAATTGACCAATGTGAAATTTATTTAAATTCCGAATTTTATCCGTACGACGACTTAAATCTAGATTTTAACAAAAATAGATACGCCATCCTCTTTGACATGTATGCACGTTTTCGTAAATCATATTACGGATACGATTGTTACGAAACGCTTTTCACCGTAGGAACATTTTTGACAAAAGGACCTATTGTGGTTATTGACTGCTCGCGACAAAACGAGTCCATCAAGAGCGCGACTATAGATGTACGAATAGAATTTGATTGTAAAGAAAATGTACCGCCGAATACTACCGCTTATTGTCTCATCTTGCACGATCGCGTTATTGAGTATTGCCCATTATCTAATGTAGTGCGCAAGATTATGTAAACTGCAACGTTTGCAATATCCCTTCTTTTTTAATATAAGAAAGGAATAAAAATCCGATGTATTTGTCGATGGAGCGTAGTCTCAAAGGAATTGTTTTTTCGTGATCGTTCCAACGTTTGCGAATCTGCAAGGATTCGTCGTCGGAAGCAGATTTGTCGTGAAGGAAGTGGCTGTGTTGAGAAAGGGGACAATTCTCTCTCATTATATTTTTGCAAGTCCTATACCATGGCATCTCTTTACAAAATCCGATAAATCTTGTGCTTCCTGGTTGATTGCAAATCATCATGGCTTGCGATGGGAAGACGGAATGATTCCATATAGCATGGCGGAACATTTGATTACAACAGCTGTGATTGACATAGAAGATGAAGCTCTCATATACGTTAAAGGATGTCAGAAGAAAGAATGGTTGACAAATATGCTCGATAGCGATGCGAGGGATGATGTCATCATCGAAACCTTGGATATTGATTATAAAGATTTAGAATCATTGAATAATCTAGATGTTAACAATACTTTTCGATATGTAAAACATTCGAAACATTGCGCGTTACAAAATGTATTTAAAATATTTAACTGGTGGTTACAACGCCAGAAAGAAAAATTTTAAAAATAAAAAATATTTAAACATTAATGTATTCCTTTACCCTATCCATGTATATATTGTAGTTTAGATGCTAAATATAAGTATAAATGCAAAAACTGCTAGCTTGACACAAATGATAGTACATACACATATATAACATATGAAATTGAGATATATAACATATGAAATTGAGATATATAAACGAAAGAGACCGAGACTTTTGTCAGTAATTGAGATATATAACCGGAAAAGAGAACGAGACTTCTGAATCTACTGTTAGAAAAAGATATTATGGCTGATAATAATGTTATATTAATTAACGATGAAGAAGTAATGGCAAATAATCAAAACGAAATCGAAGTGATAGATTTAGTGAATAAAGAAGTGATAGTAGCAAATTAAGAAGAAATTGAAGTGATTGATTTGATAGATGAAGATAATATTGAGGATGAAGTTATGGACATTGAAGATGAAAATAATGGTGATGATGATAATGTTGTTGATGACATTGATGATGATGATAGTGATGACGACAATGATGCAATGAATATTGATGAAGAAATGTTCGAAGACTCTGATTATGACAGTGATGATACTGACTTTAATATGAGTTTCAAACATAAACTCTTGAATCAACGTGAAATTAATGCAGTAAATGAACTAAGAAGAATGTGCCGCGTTACATTTTACTATTCAGCAGGAAATTCTAGTTCGAGATTTTGTACAGAATGTGAGAATTAGAGACTTGTATTCGTACATTAATGTTTTTCGATACACGAAATTGACTCTTTTGGCACAATGGAAGGACTATTTTGTACCAAGTGTAGAACTCCGCTATATCAAATAATGTTGTGTGATATGTGTTCTATGTGTAAATTAAAATTATAAAGCACATAAATGCTACATATAAATTATAAAGGTACGTATGAATATTTATTTTAAATTTACAATAATTTTTAAATTTTAAATAACTTTTTGTTTTTATTTGTTATAGTCAGTGAAAAAAGAAGACATTAACATAAATCTCGCGATGTCAACCCGTATTTCTAAAAGATAAGAAAGATGCAAAGCGTATCATGTATCAGCAGCAAGACGAAGGAGTGTCATCCTTAACCGTCAGTAAACGTTCAGATTCGATTCATCAAGTATTAAGTGCAAGTTCTACTGACTGAATATTAAGTGCGTGCGAGTAACTTATAAGGTAAATATTATAAAAGAAAAAAATTTAAGTGAGTTAAATAAAATATAATATTAATTGTGAAATAAAATCAAAAGATGAAACCGCCAACGAGCCAAGAAAGCGTGAAAGCAATAGACGGAATCATCCCGGAGGAGTATCCGGAAACTTACGAGTCACTTCTGCTGGGAACATGCGTAAAAGCTATAAACTCTGCCAGTGTCATCTAGAGAAGATGACGCTCCTTTTCGAAGGATATGCGAAGACTGCTTTCATGCAGAAGTGCAAGACTTTAATCGTGTTCGAGTAGCAATAACAAACTGGGACATATTATATAAAGTAGTGCCAAAAAATTATGAATTAAAAAGAAAATGTTTTATTTATCATAAACTTTTAATGGAATATAATATAGCTTCAGATTGTCGCGAGTTTATTAACGAATTTATAATTAATAATGAAAAATATTATTGGTTAGATAACATAGATATATTACAAGACGAAGAAAATTAAATTTAAGTTACTAAATAATATTTTATAATATTTTTTACATTTTATATTTTATATGTTATATTTTAAAATTTCAGTATTTTAGAATTTATTTTCTAACATATCGTATATGTTGTATTCCCTTATTACATTCTTAAATTAATGTTTTTTTATATTTCGTTATGTTTCGTTATTTATGTTTAATAAAATATATTTCATTGACCTACGTAAAATTGCAAATTTGTAATTTTTAACACGTGTCCGATAAAATGATCTTACCGTTTTAAAGATATATATTTCATATCGTCGACCTATGTGGAATATTTTCGCATGTGATATCTAATTTCGGAGTATCAAATAATATATAAAGTAGATAAAAAAATAAATAATATCAACCATAAAATTAAGAACAAAATTTCGATTATAGATTGTGAATTATTAGCGTACGCAATAGATAATATTATACACTATGCATTACATGACCAATAAATGTATATATACATATTATGATAAATATTACTCGGTTTATTCTCCCTTTTAATTCAGCGGTTTCAGGTTGCGCTGCGATAACGAGTCGCATGCCGACACATCTTGTCGCGAATAATAATATTACTCATAATAATAATAATAAATTACTAAGTAATATTTAAAAAAATTTCCTTTAAAAAAATAATTAATTTTAAATAAATAATTAATTTTAAATAAATTAATTTAAAAATTAAAATTACAAAAGATATCAACACAAAACGAGATACCTTGGTGGAAAGAAAAAGAACTTAAAAAAAGAGGAAGGAAGAGAAGAAAAAATGGTAAGAGAGAGAACATGATGACAGCGGCGGCGGCGGCGGCGGCGGCGGCGGACTCTGCATCGTGTGACTCCTCGCTACGCGGACCCCGCGCCATATTCCACCTCCCTTGTCTCGCGGACCCCGCATCCATCGCTTATGGAATGCCCCGCGTCGCGGAACACTCCCTCTACCCCCCTCGGAGCTCCCGAGTTAGAATCGGCCT